TCTTTTTTTTTTTATATTCGGTTTTTAAGAAACGTTAGCGGCTGCAGATTGAAACGCAAAGGTCATTTTTAATAGCATTAAATGACAGAGCGGCTCATGTAGTGATTACATAGGTTATATCTCTATAAAGTCTTACATTGTCTGAGATTTCATAACGCTCACAACGGGTGGAATGCGGGCCGTGGCGCTTAATCAGACTAATGAGGCAATGTTGGGTGACTCCTCGCGGATCACCTACGGCGGCTGTGAAGTGGCCGCCTGCAGTCAGAGTCTGGCACAGCCAACTTTAAAGCACTTCAAACCCCCGGCCTACTGTCATCATTTGCATATACAACATTTCCCAGGAGTGAGGCGAGAGCTGCCAGACAAGACGACTTGGCCCGGGTGGTAATTTGGGGCTGAACTGCGCGGGTGGTATGATGAAGGGCGCTTTGTCGTAGATCTTGGATAAGTAACCCATTGCTACAGCCCTTGCAAATTTAATTTTTTTATTCTATGATTAAAAAAATGACATTTCCCTATTCACTGATGACATTTATAAAAGCCATCACCGTCGTGCTCAGTTCAATCAAGTTCATGCAGATCACTGCCGATCGGCTACATCGCGCGACAGGTAAAAGGCCGACCTTGCTGGGATCTGCAGACTACTGATAGCGGAATCAATTACACAGAACGAGGACGAGGCAGCGCTATCAAAGAATATATGCAGCTGTATGAAGATGATGACTGCACTTCACTGATAATGGATTGACACCGCTCTTTGCCTGGGGACACTGCTCTACACCCGGGGACACCGCTCTGCGCCCGGGCACAATGCTGGAAATCGAGTGTGATTGCAGTGAAACAAAGTAGCAGACTGTCCCTTTATCAGATCCAATGCCGTGTCATTTCTCTTTCCTAAAACTGGATGAAAATAATTTTTGGATTTAAAATCTAAATTCAAGGCAATTATATATATTTAAACACCATTAAAGTGATGTTAAAGTCAAAAGGTTTTTAAGCTAATTCAACTTCTGACTAAACCATTTACAGTGGATGCTGCTTCTTGATGTTTAAAGGTTTTAGCTTCCGGCAGATTCAGCTGATCACCTGAGCACTGGCCCTGATATCCTGTCTTAGGGTGGCTCCTATCCAATGCAGTGTCCTACTATGGAGCTACCCTTGTGTGTGCAAGTAAGCTGTATGTGTCTCCAAAAGAAACAGGCAAGGCAAGAAACTTCTCCCTGCTCCCCTCTCCTCCGTTCTTCCTCCTCCCTTCTCCTTGCTCCTACCTGCTCCCCTTGCCTTACTACTACCTGCTCCCCTCTTCTTCCTGCTTTCCCCTCCTCTTTTCTCCCCTCTCTTCTTCCTCCTCCCTGCTCCCCTCTCCTCCTTCCTGCTCCCCTCTCCTGCTTCCCTCTCCTTCCTCACCCTGCTTCTGTCTCCTCCCTTCTCCCCGCTCCTCCTCCCTGCACCCCTCTCCTCCCTTCCCACCTCCTCCTTTCACCCTCCTCCCTGCTCTCCTCTACTCCCTTCCCTCCCGGCTCCCCTCTCTTTTCCCTCCTCCCTGCTCACCTTCCTTCTCCCCTCTCCTGCCTTCCTCCTCCTCCCTGCTCCTCTCTTCTCCCCCCTGCTTCCCTCTCCTCCATTCTTTCTCCTCTCTGCTCCCCCACGTCTGGCTTTGCAAAGGCATTCAGCACATACAAAATGGATTTATACTCTTTGTAACTATTGATGACTATATCGCCATGAAGGTTTTTGTTCCCGAAGTTCAACTTTAATGCTTTCCTCTGTTCTTACTGTGGTTACAAATAAGCGTGCATGGTGCCCTTTCATTCTAAAGCCTTTAGAAACGCTAAATCGGTCCGCCAAACACATTCATAAGACAAAAGCAATATTCCAGAAGTACGTGGCGGCTTTCCTGGCAGAGAGACGCTTGCTCGCTGGCTCGGTAATGGTGTCACATCTTTCCTGTCTAATTACTGCTCTGGAAATACTTTTTTTTGTTTCACAGTAAAAAAAATAAAAAACAATAAAACGTGTCAAAACTCAGCAAAAAATGGTTCCTGGAGCGATCCCGGACTGAAATATCAACTTTTCAGCATTGGGGGAAATACACTTGAAGTACCAGCAGGGTCACAGCTTACTTGACTGCGCACGTGTTCTCTCCATTGGGTCGCCATTCACCGTCTGATGGATTTTTATGCGGGTTTGGCTGGACTCCGGAGCTCGCCATCTGCTGCGCCTCTCCTGACGGCCGCAAACAACAGCTGGGCGGCTCGTGCCAGTTTTTACGAGAGCCACTTTAAGGATAAGTGATTGCGGAGAGCGGCGGCACAAGAAGGCGGCCTGCGACGACGTGTGCGCGACTGCAAAACGATGAAGCGCCGTCCGGGAAGAACGCACTGACTTAATGCAATCGTTATGACCGGCCGTTAAATAAGCATCTGGCGCAGTGTGATTGCTCGGGATGATCCTTGGAATGGACTCGAATATTAAAGGACACCTGTCAGGTGTCCCCCCAAGTGTATAAACTACCTATCATTTTTTTTTTTTAAGGTCCGTGATGCGTGCATTGAAGACTCAATCACCCCTGTGAACAAAAAAAGTGGATCATGAAATCACAACACACTAAAAAAAAAAGTGCACACTAAAAAAAAAAGTGCACAAGGGTGCTGTGGTCCTCCTCTGATGAGGAAGGGCCAAGATTTCCTGAACCCCTGGGGCGCAAGGCTCCTGACAGGGGCAAGACCTACTTAGGTGCACCTACCCGAAGGCCGGCAGACCCCTCTCCTCATGTACCACCACCGAGTGCTAGGTGGGGGCTCTCCCGAAGAGAGAACCCAGAGAGGGGGGAGGCAGAGGAGCCCATAGAGGCCACAGAACCTCCCCCCCCCCCCAAAAGAGTGCATAAATAATAAAGTCAGTGCACAACGCTGGCCAGTGTGCGAACATATTGCTACGGGTTAGCCATAAGAGCAGAATAAGCAGAATATGCTTGAGTGCCATGACCTAGTGTCAGTGAATCATGGTGGGTTCATGCACCCAAGTGATTTTCTGGCACACCCTGGTACCCCACTCCCAGGGGGCACAGCACCATGGGCCTCCCGAACCCTCCGGCCAGACCAGAGGTGCAGCACCTGTCCCCATCAGGAGGCATTAGTGCCAAGGAAGCTCCCCCTGCTCCATAGGGAACCGCCTCAACACCCACCTTCACTTCAGAGAGTACTTAGCAACCGTCTGCCCCAGAATGGTTCATGCTGTTCCCCTCTGAAAACTGATATGATACCTCACTTGATCTTAGCCAAAAAGCCGAGAAGCGATAAACTACCTATCATTTGCTTTGTGGCTTGGTTCCTCCCTTCGCCATCTTTGTTTATGACCCTCCACAAGGTCCTCGTACTGCCGGCAGTGTCTGAGGTTCACAACACTTCTCCCTTATGTTATGGAAAGAGGGGGAAGGAGTTCTGTAGTCCACCTGAAGGGAACTGGGCACGTCTGACAACACGGCTTGGGATTTCTGTACAGCAGAGGCAACGTTGTCAGCTCAAATAGGAAATTGGGAGCTCACTGGATTTCTGACGGCTCAACAGGCATTTTTCTGTAATTGCAGCATTTTAATAGAGACAAAAGTTGGGGAAAAGTGCGTGGATTGCAGAGATTTGCTTTTTTTTTTTTTTACTTTTGCCCTGCTCACATGCACTTTGAAGCTGAAGTTTAATCTGCCTTTTTGCCTTTTCTAGTTCTCCCTTTCTGCCCTCATCAGCATGCTGAAATTGACTCAAAGCTGACTGTTTGCTCTGAAAATAATGATTGTCTATGCAGAATGGAGTCTTCTCAAACAATGTTCTGTACACAAGAAGACTCAATGTGACTCCACACATGTGATGTGTATATATAATGGAGAGAGAGAGAGAGCGAGAGATAGAGAAGGGGAAAAGGGGGAGAGAGAGAGAAAGAGAGGAGGGGAGAGAAAGAGAGAAGGGGGGAGAAAGAGAGAGAGAGAAAGAGATTTTATCTAAACATCACAGGTGTGGACAGATCAGTGTATGAGAAGTGTCTCCGTTCCCCATAAACAATCATTATTTTCTTATTGACTTGTTCTGAGCAAACATTCGGAATTTTCTTTTTCCTCGCTGTGTCCCTATAACAATACGTTTGTACTCTTCCTTCCCTTCCTCACTGCCGGGCCTTCAGCAGCAACCAATCAGCATTCGTCTTTCTCTTACTCTGTATCCCATATTACCAATTGGCATTTCCCTGTAAGAGAAGCACAGAGCACTTTATAGTTTATGTTTGGCGTGCTATGCGAGCTGGTCCTTGGTATTTGTTTGGTATGTTTTGGGGTTTTTTTGTGCCAAGTTTTTATTGGGATCCTATTAGCAGCTGATACATTGCTCATATTTAACAGATTAATGCAGAACTTATATAGAAAGAAGAACTCCAGGAGAACTTCCACTTGCAGTGGGGCTACACCCCCACACTACAGGGGTTAAGTAGTCATTTTGGACTAGGGGGGCTCAAATAAAGACGATATAGGCACCTGATCCTTAATCCCCCAGGGCTGCTAGACCGGCCCCTGCAGCCTCTTCTCCCCCAGAGTCTCCTGGTACACTGACCTGTGCAGGACTGGTAGTTCCTCGCTGTCAGAGGCCGGGTCGCTGGTGAGGCTATATCTAAGCTTCCTATCTAAGGAAGGTGTAAATACATCTATTATATGAGAAGTGGAACAGTGCTTGAAACCCGTTGAGCGAATCCCCCCTCTGCCCACTCATAAATATGTGACATTATTGAGATAATAGATGTGATGGATGGATACCATGTCATATATTGTAAAATTAGGATATAGGGGTGTATTGAGGCGTAAAACGAGAGGCTAAAGGGCAACCTTTAGGAGCTGATTCATTTTAAGATGATTTTATGCTTTTCAAATTGATTTTGTATGAATAAAATGTATTTTACAGAGGTGATTCTCAGCCCCAGCACTTTAATGTGGATTGCAGTACCCACAAATGGACACAAGATGGCAGTAGAGGTCACAGGCGGCGCTGCAGGTTCCGCACCGTTTTGCCTCCAGCCGCTCTCCGTAGTTGTAGTCCGGCTGCTCTTTGCTCCGGGACTGTCAGTGTGAGGACGGTGGTCACTATGGCTTCTAGCGGCTCTATCCAGATCCCACGGCGGCTGCCTCTGCTGCTCACCCATGACGGGGTGCTGTTGCCTGGCTCCAGCATGCGGTGCAGTGTGGACACCCCCGGGAACATGGAGCTGGTGCGGAAACGCCTACTGAGGGGAACCTCACTGAAGAGCACCATCCTCGGGGTCATCCCCAACACCAGCGACCCGGCCTATGACAGCGAGGAGCTCCCCGTCCTGCACCGGTCAGTGTACCTGGGGGCCCTGGTGATACGTCACTTCCCTCTGGGGCCCCTGACAGAGTGCCCGTCCTCTCTGGGACCCCTGACTATGTGCTCCTCCCCTCTGGGACCCCTGACAAAGTGCTCCTCCCCTCTGGGGTCCCTGACAAAGCGCTCCTCCCCTCTGGGGTCCCTGACAAAGCGCTCCTCCCCTCTGGAGTCCCTGACAAAGTGCTCCTTCCCTCTGGGGCCCCTGACAAAGTGCTCCTCCCCTCCGGGCCCCTGACAAAGTGCTCCTCCCCTCTGGGACCCTTGACAAAGTGCCTCATCTCTGTTGCCCCCAACAAAGTGCCTATCCCCTCTGAGGCCCATGGCAAAATGACTCCTTTTTGGGGCCCCTGACAAAGCGCCTGTTCCATCTGGGGCAACTGACATATTGCCTGTTCCATCTGGGGCCACTGACATATTGCCTGTTCCATCTGGGGCCACTGACATATTGCCTGTTTTCTTCTGGGCCCCTGACAAAATGCCTGTTTCATTTGGGCCCCTGACAACGTTCCTTTCCCTTCTGGAGCCCCTGACAACATGCCTTTCCCCTTTGGGTTTACCTGACAACGTGCCCCTGACTGCTCACCCCCTCTGGGGCCCCAGTTTTGTGCAAAGTTCAACAAACCCTTTAAGTCAGACAGAGCCCACTCTGACAGCTCCCCATACATTAAAGAGTCACTTAAAACAGACTTCCCCTCACTTCCTGTTCTGGTGACACAGAACAGAGAAAGCAATGAAATGCGGATTGGGAGGGTTCCGGCCTTCCACTACTCTAATAAAAACAAAACAATAGTCTTTTTATAGTTCTCTGTGTTCCTGTTGGAGATTTCCCATCACTTCCTATCCTGGTGACAACAGAAAATCTCCTCAGTGGAGTCCCGGCCAGCAGTATAAACCTGATACACGTTCCATCCTTTCCCCATTCCTGATTGGCTGCCCATTCCCCCCTCTCCTCTATCTTGTCACCCTTTGTCCCGGTGTTTGCGTTCACTTACATAACATACAGAGGTGACTGGCACATGTCATACAATGTACACTGTGTCACGTGTCACAGGTCATGTGACGTGTGGGAGAGATCTACAGATACAAGGTCATTACTATGTAACAACTCTACAGCGGGATCTGTTCTTAAAGGGGACGTATGGGCCAAACTTTTCTTTTTCCTTCTGGATAGAGTAGGGAACGGGATATACTTCCCTGTCACTTGGTGACATTTTTTCCTTCACTTCCTGTCCAAGAAACACAACAGGAAGTAAGAGGAAATCTCCCAGAGTTAGGGGAATACCTCTCTTAGGGACGATTCCCACCATAGGCATCGAGGCTGCGCTGGCCGTTGTTTCCAGACAAGGCCATTTGCGTCGTTGTGGGCGGGCTCAGATCACGGGAACGCAGAGGGGAAAAAAAGTTTATCTCGCTGTTCTTCTTTTCAGCGCGACGGGATGCGACGTAGAACAACCGCCTCGCACCCTGCTGTGCCCATAGGACTGAATGAAATGTCACTTGTGACATTTCAATAAAGTTTTACTACAAAAAAAAAAGAACACTGACGTGCCAATCACTTGTATGAGAGTTAAAAAAAAAGGGGGGAGGGCACGCTGATAGAGGAGAGAGCAGAACAATGAGCACATCAGTCTGCTGCTTCTCCTTCACAGACCAGTCAGAGGCTGGGGGTGGGGAAGTGATGTGTGCTACAGAACTGCAGTAGGGAACAGCGAGGTCTCCTGCCCTACAAGACAGGGCTGTGCTGTGTAAAACCCAGGACTGGATGGACACAACTACAAATCCTTTGGCGGGTAGAGCCGTCGCCTTCTATGTATTTTGGCTGTTTGCAGTTCATGAGATCTCAATCTTTCCCCTCTGCTCCCCGCCAGGATCGGAACGGCGGCGCTAGCTGTGCAGGTCGTCGGCAGCAACTGGCCCAAGCCGCACTACACCCTGTTGGTCACCGGCCTTTGCCGATTCCAGATCGTGGAGGTCGTGAAAGCCCGGCCCTATCCCATCGCTGAGGTGGAGCAACTGGACCGCCTGGAGGAGCTGAGCAGCAAGGACGAGTTCAAGGAGGCCCTGGGGGATCTGTCCGAGCAGTTCTACCAGCATGCTGTGCAGGTGGGTCATTGGGGGGCACTGGAGCTGCCATCTTTGTTTATGACCCTCCGGCAGTGTCTGAGGTTCTCAACAATTCTCCCTTATGTTATTGAGGAGGGGAAGGGAGTTTTATAGTCCACCAGAAGGAAACTGAACAGGGCTGACAACACTGCTTGGGATTTCCATGCAGCAGAAGCAGCGTTGTCAGCTCAAACAGGAAGTGGGGGGAGGGGAAAGGTTTCTTGTTGTTTTTGTGTGCAAACTCTCTCTCTCTCTCTCACCCCCCCCCTCTCTCTCTCCTCCTATCAGCATGCTTTTATTTTACATGGTTTTGTGTTTGGTGTATTTTAGAACGGGTTTAATTCTGCAGAACTGTCCTCGTCATCACTAATCTGTTTTCCCCTCAGCTGGTGGACATGTTGGATGGTTCCGTGCCGGCTGTGGCAAAACTGAAGAGACTGTTGGACAATCTTCCTAGGGAGCTTCTGCCGGACATCTTGACGTCCATCATCCGGACGACCAATGAAGAGAAGCTGCAGGTGAGGACCCCAAAAGGACGACGCACTGTGAATGATTGTATAGAAAGGAAAGCTTCATAGATACATACATGGGAGCTGTATTCCTCTCCAGTCCCGGGATTTACACAGCTCTGCCGCACAGCACAGCCCGGTCTAGCAGGGCACGAATCTAGATTTGTGCCTGCAGCAGGTAAGTAACACCTACAGGTCTTGCCCCCCCCCCACCTTGTGACAGCCAAGGAAAGGAAAGAGCAGCAAGACTGATCATTGTTACTCTGCTGTTTCCTCCTATCAGCACGCTCCTTGTACTGCAGCACACTCTTGGCTTCTTGTGCTGCTTCATCCTCCCCCTCTCTGAGCTCTACAGTACTGCACAGAGCTGATTCTGAGCCAAATTCAGGTACAATACAAGCATTACAAAATAATAAAACAGGGCTGGGAATGAGCCCTGAAAAGAATACTCCACCTTACTGACCATATTTCATGTGACACCCATATGTAGGGGGACGTGACATGAAACACGGTCACATTCCACAACCCCCCCACCGCCCAAACCAACTCCACACGTGCTTCTGCTTGGAGCACACGCACATCCACGTCATTCATTCATAGATCTATTCACAGGACTAAAAGACTACAAGTCCCATCTGCCAGCACAGCACAAGTGCGGTGATTTTACTTGTAGCCTATGGAATACTTCCCTCAGCCCTACAACTGAAAATCGAGAGAGAATATGAATGAATATATATTTTTTATTTATAAACTTTCTTGAGCACAATGCAGTCAGGCAAGTACCGTTCTCCTGGCAATCGCCAAACCCAGACACGCCCATCGGATTGCCAGACAGAGAAGCGTGATTGGTCACTCCAGAGAACACGTCTCCAGTGGCGGCGCGCTTTACACCACGGCATCCCACGCTTTGCATTGCACTTGGTGATGTAAGGCTTGGATGCAGCTGCTCGGCCATGGAAACCCATTCCATGAAGCTCTCTACGCACTGTTGTTGCGCCAATCTGAAGGCCACACGAAGTTTGGAGGTCTGTAGATATTGACTCTGCAGACAGTTGGCGACTTCTGCGCACTGTGCGCTGACCCCGCTCTGTCCTTTTACGTGGCCTACCACTTCGTGGCCGAGTTGCTGTTGTTCCCAGTTGCTTCCACTTTGTTATAATACCGCTAACAGCTGACCGCGGAATATTTAGCAGCAAGAAAATGTTATTGCACAGGTGACAACCTATCACAGTACCACGCTTGTAGTCACTGAGCTCCTGAGAGCGACCCATGGAGGTGATTGGAACACCTGAATCCAATGATTTGGAGGGGTGTCCCAATACTTTTGGCAATATGGTGTATGGTGTGTGTGTATATATATAGGGAGAGAGAGAGAAATATATATTTGTATGTGTGCTTTCATAGGTCTGGTTATTCTTTCTCATTGTAACATTCACTGCGGTTTGTTTTATCTTTTTTTGTATTCTTTTGTCATACTTTTGGCTCCGTGTTATTCTTTCCCTGTGTCTTTAACTCCCCTTTGTCTTCCCTCTGGTCAGATTCTCGATGCTGTCAGGTTAGAGGAGCGATTCAAGGTGACCATCCCACTCCTACTCAGACAGATCGAAGGACTGAAACTGCTCCACAAAACAAGAAACCCTAAAAAAGATGAAGACAAGAGGGTACGTCTCATGGCTGTTCTTTATTTCTTCCCCTCGGGCCACTTTACAGGTACAGAGCACTTTTGCTCTAAACTCCTGATGAAGCTACAAGGTCTGAGGTGAAACATGGAGGGTCCACAAATGTCCCATGAGGCATTGCCAGACTTTGACAGCCATAGACATGAATCTCAGAGCCAGAGGCATGATGGCAATTGTAATCTTATATAATATTAATAACGTCACTACCCCATGAGTGCTGAGGTCACCTACCCCTGGCATAGAGGATTGGTGATGATATATATACATTTAGTCACCTTAAAGCAACCGAATCTTTTAAATACGACACTTCCCGGTGTGTAGGGTGCTTCCTCAGGGGTGCCTCGAAACTTTTGCATAATGTAATGCCTTTCTTTGGTGCAGGCAGGCTTCTGATGTGAAGGTGGGGGGGGGCTCCTGATGTAAAAGAAGGGGGGCTCCTAATGTAAAGGGATTCTTCAGATATAATGGGGGCTCCTTAGGTGAGGGGGAGCCCACTGATGTAAAAGAAGGGGGCTCCTAATGTAATGGGGGGCTCTGTTGTGAAAGAAAGGGGCTCCTAATGTAAAGGGATTCTTCAGATATAATGGGGGCTCCTTAGGTGAGGGGGAGCCCACTGATGTAAAAGAAGGGGGCTCCTAATGTAATGGGGGGCTCTGTTGTGAAAGAAAGGGGCTCCTAATGTAAAGGGATTCTTCAGATATAATGGGGGCTCCTTAGGTGAGGGGGAGCCCACTGATGTAAAAGAAGGGGGCTCCTAATGTAATGGGGGGCTCTGTTGTGAAAGAAAGGGGCTCCTAATGTAAAGGGATTCTTCAGATATAATGGGGGCTCCTTAGGTGAGGGGGAGCCCACTGATGTAAAAGAAGGGGGCTCCTAATGTAATGGGGGGCTCTGTTGTGAAAGAAAGGGGCTCCTAATGTAAAGGGATTATTCAGACGTAATGGGGGGCACCTTAGGTGAGGGGGGGGCACTCGTGTAAAAGAAGGGGCCTCCTAATGTAATGGGGGCTCTGTTGTGAAAGAAAGGGGCTCCTAATGTAAAGGGATTCTTCAGATATAATGGGGGCTCCTTAGGTGAGGGGGGGCCCACTCATGTGAAAGAACGGGGCTCCTAATGTAATGGGGGGCTCTGTTGTGAAAGAAGGGGGTTCCTAATGTAAAGGGATTCTTCAGATATAATGGGGGCTCCTTAGGTGAGGGGGAGCCCACTGATGTAAAAGAACGGGGCTCCTAATGTAATGGGGACTCTGTTGTGAAAGAAGGGGGTTCCTAATGTAAAGGGATGCTTCAGGTGTAATGGGGGGCTCCTTATTTAAGAAGGGGGTCTCTGATGTGAAAGAGGGGGGCTCCTAATCTAATGGGGGGCTATGTTGTGAAAGAAAGGGGCTCCTAATGTAAAGGGATTCTTCAGATATAATGGGGGCTCCTTAGGTGAGGGGGAGCCCACTGATGTAAAAGAACGGGGCTCCTAATGTAATGGGGACTCTGTTGTGAAAGAAGGGGGTTCCTAATGTAAAGGGATGCTTCAGGTGTAATGGGGGGCTCCTTATTTAAGAAGGGGGTCTCTGATGTGAAAGAGGGGGGCTCCTAATCTAATGGGGGGCTATGTTGTGAAAGAAAGGGGCTCCTAATGTAAAGGGATTCTTCAGATATAATGGGGGCTCCTTAGGTGAGGGGGAGCCCACTGATGTAAAAGAACGGGGCTCCTAATGTAATGGGGACTCTGTTGTGAAAGAAGGGGGTTCCTAATGTAAAGGGATGCTTCAGGTGTAATGGGGGGCTCCTTATTTAAGAAGGGGGTCTCTGATGTGAAAGAGGGGGGCTCCTAATCTAATGGGGGGCTATGTTGTGAAAGAAAGGGGCTCCTAATGTAAAGGGATTCTTCAGATATAATGGGGGCTCCTTAGGTGAGGGGGAGCCCACTGATGTAAAAGAACGGGGCTCCTAATGTAATGGGGACTCTGTTGTGAAAGAAGGGGGTTCCTAATGTAAAGGGATGCTTCAGGTGTAATGGGGGGCTCCTTATTTAAGAAGGGGGTCTCTGATGTGAAAGAGGGGGGCTCCTAATCTAATGGGGGGCTATGTTGTGAAAGAAAGGGGCTCCTAATGTAAAGGGATTCTTCAGATATAATGGGGGCTCCTTAGGTGAGGGGGAGCCCACTGATGTAAAAGAACGGGGCTCCTAATGTAATGGGGACTCTGTTGTGAAAGAAGGGGGTTCCTAATGTAAAGGGATGCTTCAGGTGTAATGGGGGGCTCCTTATTTAAGAAGGGGGTCTCTGATGTGAAAGAGGGGGGCTCCTAATCTAATGGGGGGCTATGTTGTGAAAGAAAGGGGCTCCTAATGTAAAGGGATTCTTCAGATATAATGGGGGCTCCTTAGGTGAGGGGGAGCCCACTGATGTAAAAGAACGGGGCTCCTAATGTAATGGGGACTCTGTTGTGAAAGAAGGGGGTTCCTAATGTAAAGGGATGCTTCAGGTGTAATGGGGGGCTCCTTATTTAAGAAGGGGGTCTCTGATGTGAAAGAGGGGGGCTCCTAATCTAATGGGGGGCTATGTTGTGAAAGAAAGGGGCTCCTAATGTAAAGGGATTCTTCAGATATAATGGGGGCTCCTTAGGTGAGGGGGAGCCCACTGATGTAAAAGAACGGGGCTCCTAATGTAATGGGGACTCTGTTGTGAAAGAAGGGGGTTCCTAATGTAAAGGGATTCTTCAGATGTAATGGGGGGGGGGCACTGATGTAAAAGAACGAGGCTCCTAATGTAATGGGGACTCTGTTGTGAAAGAAGGGGGTTCCTAATGTAAAGGGATTCTTCAGATATAATGGGGGCTCCTTAGGTGAGGGGGGGCCCACTCATGTGAAAGAAGGGGGCTCCTAATGTAATGCGGGGCTTTGTTGTGAAAGAAGGAGGTTCCTAATGTAAAGGGATGCTTCAGGTGTAATGGGGGGCTCCTTATTTAAGAAGGGGGTCTCTGATGTGAAAGAGGGGGGCTCCTAATCTAATGGGGGGCTATGTTGTGAAAGAAAGGGGCTCCTAATGTAAAGGGATGCTTCAGGTGTAATGGGGGGCTCCTTATTTAAGAAGGGGGTCTCTGATGTGAAAGAGGGGGGCTCCTAATCTAATGGGGGGCTATGTTGTGAAAGAAGGTGGCTCTGATGTGAAAGGAGCAATTCTGATGTAATGCGGGGCTCTGATGTGAAGGGGGAACCTCATTTTTTGGTGTGTGTTTTTGCCTGGGTCCCCCCTAAAATCTATATGAAACCCCTAGTTGAGGTAAGGGTCTGGCATGGATTTTGGAGAGGCCGCATGTCTTTTTTTTTTACATTTTCACATTTAGGATTTTAGCATTTTAGACCGGGGTGCCTCGAGATTTTGCCTACTTTTAAAGCCTGGAAAAAGGTTGAGAAACACTGTGTACTGTAGATTGCCTATCCACTCACAGCACCCTGTAAGACACAGGTCCATCCCGCTCAACCTGCATCCATCTTCTCTAGGTGGTAGCCATTCGCCCTCTGAAGAAGCTTGGCGGGATCTCGGTGAAAGGCTTTACCCTGGACAACGCAGACGATGACGACGACGATTCCGATGACATCATAATGCTGGAAAAGAAGGTGAAGTCGTGTAACATGCCGGAGCAAGCGCTGAAGGTCTGCATGAAGGAGATGAAAAGGTAGGAGGCCATCAGGACTTCCCATACGGAGCATCCCAATCACTTATTTCAGTGTATCATTCGTGTGCTGTCCCGTCCCTCCAGACTGAAGAAGATGCCGCAGTCAATGCCCGAGTACGCCTTAACCAGGAACTACCTTGAACTGATGTCTGAGCTGCCCTGGGGCAAAAGCACTAGAGGTAGGTGCAGATGAAAAGCATGCTGGGAGACGCGGCTTAAAATAGATGTAAACTCTAACTGGGTGATATTTACTTTGCTAAAGCTCTGTGTATCATTTACAATTGTCTTTTTTCTCCCATAAAGTCCAGTTTTCATCCTATATGCATCTCAGTGCTGCTGATCCCCTCAAGCCTCTCTCAGTCACTTCCTGTTTTAATTGCACTCCCTTCATTGATGGCTACACATCATTGCTGTGGACCGGCTTCCTGATGGTGACAACCTTGGTCCATGCCTGCGCAGTGTGTGTTGTCATGGCCGCTTGTAGTCTCCGACAGGGTAACATTGCAGGTGAATAAGAGCCAGCCCACTTGCATCAGGTCTGAGGGCTCGAGGAGTACTGAGGCAGGGTGCTGTTATGTTTTCATGAAGCTATGTACAGCCCCCTGCCGGCCCCGCCCATCAGCCATGATCTGCCTGCATTGCATACAGAAGCACAGGGATCCAGCGATGTCTACAATAAGCTATGTAATAAGCGTGTATAGTAGAGTTGATGGACGGGGAGGGACCAGGGATGGTAAAATATAAACAGATTACACTTCAGTTTCAGTCATTACATACACGTATCATATCCTCAAATCCGCTACCTGCAGATGTTATCCTTGCTAACGTGACAGGACGGCTCCTTGTGTCTGCCGTGGGTGACGGGTCAATTTTCGGAGTCCATCGCCTTCCCCTCCTGTCTGTGTTTTTACAGTCTCTTCCCCGAGAAAACAATTTTACTTTCAAAACTTTCCATGCTGCTATCTGGTGTCAGCGATCGCAGCAGCTGTTATTTCAGGAATGCAGCCAACCCCGCCAGCACCGTAACACAGCGTGAACCCGGGGACTGAGACATTGTCTGCTTCCCATGGGAAACCCTGCAGAGAGCCGAGCTGGATGACGAAAATGTAATACGCCAAATGAGAGGCGCAGCACTGTCCCGTGATATGATACAATGCGCGCCAAAGTTAGTGTTATCCACTTTTAGTACAAAACCAGCGAAGCATCTAAAACGTGGTAGTAGTTCAAGACAAAGGGAAGCTGACGGCAGCTACAAATGGCAGTTCACCCGAAAAGTGATATTTTAGGCCTCATTCACACTGTAATCGGCCGGCACGTACAGCTCCGTGCACGGCCGTATCGGGCAGCTCCCGGGAAGGACAGGTGCTGCGTGTGATTAGTACGCAGCCACCGTCCTTCTCTATGGGACTACGCGGCCGTATGCCCCCCCCTACGCTCAACTCAAGTGCACGTCCGGGTGCGTGTTTCCTGGCTCGGACGCAGACAGGATCCATCCTGGCAGCGTACGAGTACGCTCCCCCGCGCGGACGTGCAGGGCGGGTGAGCGTAGGGGTGCGTACGGCCGGGTAGTCCCATAGAGAAGGACAGGGGCTGCGTACTAATTACACGCAGCACCTGTCCTTCCCGGGAGCTGCTCGATACGGCCGTGCACGCAGCACGGTGCTGTACGTGCCGGCCGATTACAGTGTGAATGAGGCCTAAATGATGGGGCCTGCAGAGTCACCTCCAGCATGTTGTGGATACTCCATCAGTGACATCTCCCTGTCATACTCCAGGGGTCTGGGCTCTTTGTAGTCCATCAGGATTAAGGTAGGCAGGGCTGACACCACATGCTTAGGAATTCAGATCTGTGTTGTCATGTCAAAGAGGAAGGTGGGCGAACATTATATTTTTGGCACATCCACAGTTACTTGCTCTGTATTTGCAGTGTTTGTACAGGGATAAAACATGGGTACATGTGCATGTAATGCTGTTGCCCAAACTAATATAACAGAGACAGACGCCTAATGGTCTGTGATGAACATTCTGAGTGTGTGTAATATTTCACAGGAAAGTCAGGTCACATCTTTCTGCCTTGAGGAAGGGACCCTGCGCGGCCCCGAAACGTCGGTTTATTTGGATGTCTGTGACGCTTTCTGTCCAATAAAAGGAACATATTTATCTTTACTACTGAGTGCTGGTGATTTCCTGACTTTCCTGTGTTTGCACGGCGCCATCCGTGGTATCTCATCACTGCGAGCACCACTTTTTTCATATCTGGCCGGGACTGCTGTGAGGAGTGCGGAGGGTCTCTCCATCTACTTACATCTGTAATATTTCACAGACACTGTCACTTTGCCCTGAATGGTGTCTCTTTAAAGAAGACCTCTGGGCATTTAAAAAACTTTCCCTTGCAGTGGGACTAAGGGGTAAGGGGTTAAGTGTTCTTTTTTCCTCTAGGCGATGGAATAAAGCAGTTTACTCACCTGATCTTCAGTCCCTTGGTGGTCAACACTCACCTCTCCCCCTCCAGATAGTCCCTCGGCGTCCTCATGTCTAATGCAAGTCAATGCAACCGCATAAGACATGATGAGGTCAGCAGTCCTTAGACCTCTGGAGCCCGGGGGAGAAGAGGCTGCAGGGACCGGTCTAGCAGTCCGGCAGGACCCAGGATCAGATGAGTATATCTGCTTTATTTGACCCCCGAGCACTTACATTTTATTTTTGGTAGGTAAAAGGAGCAGATTCGATGGGCCACTTGAGCCTTTTCTGATGTCAATCTTCTATATTTTGTGTGTTGAGACTGCGAGAATGGTCTTTCAGCCATGTTCCAGAAGTCGGATTGAGCCTAGATAGAGAATTGCTGTATTAGACGGGCGTTGTGATTTTATAAAATCCCATTTTGCGGGCTATTTACTTACATCCTATCATATAAAAATGGAATTTATGTAGAAAACCTAATAAGATGTAGTGAGATGTTGTGGCCAGCAGATGGCGGCAGAGCACTGTCTGCGTCTCTCTTATATAACCTGTTTACACTGCACAGACCCGGCACTATTACACTTCTCATGCTTTTAGTTACAAGTCGTTCTCTTTTATATATTTATTTTACGGTTTGCTTTTCTTTTCAGAGTGGCTGATGACTTGTTCAGGAACATCAGAACAAGCCACATTTAAAGCAGCATGCTGGTCTGTCAGTAGGTTATAAATAATGATATATTGACATGCTTCAGACAGGAATTTACCATGTCATTTCACATCTCTCAGCCATGCAGCCTGCGCCGAGAACTTTAAGAGGGAACAGCTGGCCGATGTATAATACGTATGACGGAGAGGACTGGCGGAATGTTTTCTGCTGCTACGGCAGAATTGTTAGCCTGGGGTCATTGAGAGCGGACTAAGCTGGCCTGTAGCACTGCAGCTGCGGAGGAGGAACAACTAACCAGCATGCACTGGGATGTGCGCACCTCTTCCTATCATGCTTGGTAACCTGTGGCTTTCCAGGGGTGGTAGAGTTTTAATTGTCGGACTCTCTTGTCTCCTTTGGATGTTGAGTCGCAACTTCCAGCGTGCACTATGATGTGCGCACGTCTTCCTATCATGCCCAGAGGCCTGTGGCATTCCAGGGGTGGTAGAGCTTTAAATGCCAGACTCTCTTGTCTCCAGAGGGTGTTGAATTACAACTTCCAGCATGTACTGGGATGTGCGCACCTCGTCCCATCATGCCCAGTAACCTGTGGCTTTCCACGGGGTGGTAGAGCTTTAAATGTCGGACTCTCTTGTTTCCATAGGATGTTGAATCACAACTTCCAGCATGTACTGGGATGTGCGCACCTCTTCCCATCATGCCCAGTAACCTGTGGCTTTCTAGGGGTGGTAGAGCTTTTAATGCCGGACTCCATAGGATGTTGAGTTACAATTCCCGGCATGCTTGGCTCACTCTTTGCTGAAATAAAATGTATAGTTAGACCTCCAGCTCGCCAGGGATTGTGCCTACCTTAATCCTGATGGACTACAAAGAGCCCAGGCCCCCTGGAGTATGACAGCGAGATGTCACTGATGGAGTATCCACAACATGCTTGAGGTGACTCTACAGGCTCCATCATTTAGGCCTCGTTCACACTGTAAACGTCCAGCTCCGCATGTCTTTTGAGCTGTATCAAACTTCACTAGTGTTGGACCTAACTCCCAGCATGCCCTGCAGCCTTTAATGGTGAGCGAACAAGTCCTAGCATGTGGGTTTTCAGATTCAAGGGAACATGCAGTTAGAACTGAACTACAAGCAGTAACAAAAGACAAATTATTAATTCATACATCTTAAATGTATTTTCTAAATGCAGGGAGTGTTTGTACCTGAATTTTTATGGTCTCAGCCTCTTGCATTCCATGTACAGCAGAGATCAGGCTAGAAGAGAGAGAAGCAGCATAAAAAGCCAATCGGGTGTGCTGCAAGTGCAAGGAGCATGATGATGAGGAGCTTACAAGCTAAGGTCCCTATCTTATATGCACACATACAGGGACGATTTAGACAGGAGCCAATTAACCTTCCAGCATGTCTTTGGAGTGCCATAGCCGGTTGATGACGGCTGATTTGGATACAACCATATACGCATGGGCAGGAACTCTTTCCGGGCGCTCTCCTTACTCAGTGACCATAAGACAGGATGCATGCTATGTGACCTCTTGTCTTCTAGTACTTTATGAACTACACATCCCAGCATGCTTCATGACTTTACAGTAGCTGCGAACATCTAAGTCTCCTCTCAGCCAAGGGAGCTGCAAGTTTTCCTGGTTGTCATAACAGACAATAATCAATGTAGTAAAAGTGGGTTCACACAGATCACAAACTTTCATGCAGGACATTGTCCTTCCTGTTTCCATAAACCATCGTGAATCTTGGATTATACCCAGGGTGCTGTGATTTTTATTCCATCAGGCCTTTGTTTTGGAGCAGATGAGAAAAAGAAGTGTGGAAATCCTGAGCCTGGGCCTAAAGCTTTCCCATCCAGGATGGATTGTACGGGAAACGGTACCAATAGGTGGGCTAATATCAGGTACAGCACGTGGGGAGTGGTCTGCCCATCCTTGCCCTTGTTGCAGACCGCTGGGTATCCGACGTGTCCGACAAAGCATGTGTTTGAGTTTTGCATTCCCTGGACCTTTCACTTTTCTGATCTGTGATCTTATTACAAGGTAAGGA